TCCATCGTCATACTATCTCATCATCTTGGGCCGCTTTTGGGGCACCCCTGGGCGCTATTGGGGTCGTCGAGGGGCCCTATTGGGCTTCTCTTGGGGCTGTGTTGTGCCATCCTGGAGCCATCTTGACGCCTCAAGAGCCAATCGGACGCGAACAAAAACGAAAAAGGCAAACCACCTTGATTTTCCTTAAGCCTTGAAACCATGTTGGTCGCTTGGGGTGTCTTTGGAGGGCTCGGAAGGCACTTGACACCGTCTTGGGGCCGTGTCAAGGCCTCTTGGGTACGCGTTGGAGGCTATCGTGAGCCATGTTGATGTAGATATTGGGCGATATCATGACATTTCGGGCTAGCTAAAGCCCTCTTGAAGCTAGCGCGGGCCATGTTGGACGCTCTGGCCCCTCGCGGGGGAGCCCGCCTAGAAGCAGTGAGGGGGGGAGGGGGGGGGGGGGGGGGGGGGGGGGGGGGGGGGGGGGGGGGGGGGGGCTTGCCTCCCGAGCAGGGGAAGGAAGGAGGTTAGAACATGAAGCGCCCTAGACCACCTGCGCCCAGGGGGCTGGTGGGGCAGGCAAGCGCAAAGGAAATACCTGATAGTGCCATGCTGGTGCCCTTTTGATTGGCTTTTTGGAGCTGTCCAGTTGCCTCTCGGAAGCTTCGTGGGCAATATTGGGGTTATGTTGGACGTGGTGGAGCGGTCTCGGGCAATCTCGGAGGCCTCTCGGGCCTGGGCGGTTGTGGGCCCCGCCCTTCCCTCGGCCATTCTCGGTGCCATTCGGCATCTTGAATATCCGTGCGGCCGAGCCAGCGAGCGCGCGGGGGCGCGCGGCAACAGTTCACCAGCCTGCTGGGCGTATGGTTTAGAGAGTTCGCTACTCTATGTTCCAAGCCATGTTAAACCTATCCCTGCACCCCCCTGGGTTTCGCAACAACCCATGCGATGCCCCGCAGAAATAAATGCAAACATTTCGCGCGGACCTTGCGCTGCCCTGCGATACCGTGCAAACCGACCCTGCAATACCCCGCAACGCAGACACCAACATCACATTGCAAAACGACCGTGTCTATACATCCGAAATTCGACCATGTCATGGAAACTGCCTTGTGACGCCTTGCAATGGCTCTGACACCCCACCAACTTGCTGGGCACATGCTCGTCATGATGGTATCGCGTCCCTGGCGGCCTCTCGGGGTGCTCCCGAGGCTGCGACGCAGCCTTGAGGGCCCCAAGAGCGGGGGCAATGAAGGGTCGCAAGGATCTCCTAAGGGGGCCCAGGAAGGTTCCAAAAGTGGCACCAAGATGCGCCCCTGCTGCCAACGCCGAGGACCGCCATTGGCAGCAAGGTGGCGCTCTGGGCGCTCCACTCACCCCCCCACCCCCCTCCCTCTGGGCCAATCTTGGTGCGTATTTTGGCACCGTTTCAAGGGCGCTCCCAAGATGGGCACCCTGCTGTCGAGGACGAGGGCCGCGATATTGGCATCAAGACGGCCATCTTGATGCCCTTCTTGGGGCCTTCCTAAGGCCTTCGTGGGATCTCCTCGGGGCCTTCTCGGGCCCCATCTCAGGAGCCAATGGGGGCTTTGAAGGAGCCTTCAGAAGGCGCCGAGAGGGCCGCGGGATGAACCCCCTGCTGCCCAGGACAACGGCCGCCCTCTTGACAGCAAAAGGGTATTATTCGGGCCCCTCTCAAGGCCCTCCCGGGCAAATCCTGGCGCCCGCTTGGGGGCTTTTAGGGGCGTTCCCGCGGCTTCTGGGCGGCCCCGACAAGACCGCCTCGTTCTGAACGAAGGTCGCCATCTTGACGGCAAGTGGGCTCTCTTAAGGTCCTCTCGGGGCCGTCCTGGGGCCCTCCTGGGGCCACTTGGGGCCATTTCAAGGCTCCTCTAGGGAGCCCCGTCGGGGCAATCGCGGGCCCCTCTTGGGCCCCCTCGCGTGGTGTTTGTCTGTTGCGCGACGCGCTGCTGCGCGGCATGCTACAACGGCTATCTTGCCAAATCATCGGGGGTTCTAAACCACGCAGACAAACTTGATAATACACGCGGCACATACATACTTTTCAGCCCATGCAATACATACGCTACACACACGCACGACACTATCACACGACACTACACGATTCCACAGCACGCATGAATCACACGAATACACCATACCAATACACCGCGCGAGTACACTATCCCACACTGCGTGACACTTAATGCACGATGTTTAATGCGCCATTATTAACGCGCGACCTTTAATGCGCGCGACACGTCTACGCTGATGCACGACGCTGACACGTCATACGAATACACAGCGCAAATGCGTTACCCCATACTAACACAGTTTACGTTACATTCAGCGCGCGGCATGTCATACGCATTTATTTATCGCGCGAAACTTAATACGTGGCAACTAAGGTGTAACACTTACTTCACGACATTTGGTACCCTACAGTTCATGCACGGTTATGCGCGACCCCGCGCGGCAGCTAATACGCGACATTTTATGCACGAGCTGTACAGCACGACGCTTTACTCATAGTCCAGGCTTGAGACACGACGCTGTATGCATGCACACCACTCAACCAAACTTGACACGCGGCACTTAATACACAAGACTTTGCAATGCTCAATGCACGACGAATCGCATGCGGCAATGGGTGTGCGTCGTTCAGTACGCACCATCTAATATACGCAACGGTTTAAACGCGACGCTTTACACACGGCAAGCTGCAAACGACACTTCGCACACGGCATTTTAATACACCACATGCAAGACGCGACACGCAAGCTACGACATTTAACAGCACCACACAAATGACACGATGCATACTTAGGATGTGACACCTTATACATTACAAATGATACACTAAATTTCATATACGGTGGTTAATACATCACACTTCGTACCGTGCACTTAATAACACATTACATGTAATGCACATCACCAAATGTGCGACTCTTAAGATGCTACTCGACATGCGCTACACTGAATATGGCACAATATGTACCACGCTACACATATTACACGAAATTTACCAATATAGAGAGACTTCTCAATCTGCTACACCAAACGGATTGCCACTCAAGGCGCTAAACGAATGCACGACTCTAATGACTCTATACTGATACTGGTACACTCTTTTGGCACACCATACCAATACACCATACTATTACAGCGCAAGGCCCAGTACACTAGTACACTACATTCATACACTAGGCTAATACACTGCACGCATACACTACGCCAACACAACCTCCAATACTTTACCGTTACACCATATTTAATAACCGACGCAAAATACACGACACGGAAAACGCAAAGTTGAATACGCGACACTTACCACACGATACTTAGTACACGACACTGGGACCGTCTTGGGGCTCTCTGGGCCCTCTCTTGGGGCTCGCTTTGGCTACCTATAGGCAACCCTGCGGTCTCGGGAAGCCACCGGAAGCGAACAGGCGGGACGACAATTGATATTGATGACCATCAAGTGTTTGATTGGTTTTGACCCATTTGGTGTTTCCTTTGGGAAGCCCCGTGACTTCACGGTTATCTTGGGCTCTCTGAAGACCTCTTGGAACCGTGCAACACAACGTAGTGCATTTGATGCTGTATTATGCAGTGAATTGGCGTAGTACGTCGGTGTAGCAAATCCGCGGGGAGTTGTCGTGGAATGTCTCATTGTAGCGTCCTCGTGAAGCGTACTGGCGTAGTGCATTAACGAAGTGCACTAGCGGAGCGTACTAGCGTAGTCTAATTGGCGCAGTGTGAAATAGTGTGGTGCATGTGTGTGATGTATGCAGGTAGTGTATTAGAGTAGTGTATAAGCGTTGTGCATTCGTGTAGTGTTTCATAGAGGCAGATGCGCGTTTAACGAGCACTCTCAGTCCAAGGCAACTCGCCTGGGCATCTCCTTTAATTGGGCTGGTGAAGGTACGCGAAGCGCCAAGCATGTAGAAATCTGGGATCACAGCCTTCATCAGCCTAGAGCACAGGACTCAAGACAGAGAGCACCAGACGCCTGGATGCAACTCCGTTTCGCGCCTCGAGGCACGGTGGCGGAGTTGGCGTTTTTTTTTTTTTGCTTAATATATATTCGAAGGGTTCAATAGATGACGGGGCGCTGTTTTGGCGTTCGCGGTTTGGTGTTTTTTCTCCCAGGAGTGGGTGCGAAGCATGGTCATGCCTGCGCTTTCTGACGCGTTGCAGCTGTGCTCTACGGTCGTGTACATCGGGCTGACAGAGACTGTCGATTTTTCCCCATTGCACTAGATGGCGCGGTTGCATCTAATGATGACCCAGACGAGGTGCAATTACTCCTTGTAACGCATGTCAGGCAGGCACTTGTGCACTTCAGGCAGCTGGTTGGGTATTCTCTCACTCCTTCAACATTCCCATGGGCGTGGGCGGGTGCTCTGGCAGATTCCGACGAAACGCGGCAGAGGACGATCGACCATGCGCAGCAGGTGTGGGATCTCGTGCTTTTCCTAGAGCGTTCGCAAAGCCCTGTGCACGCGGAACTCGCCAAAACGTTGCTCATCAGAGAAGCAGTTGTTTTTTTTTTTCGAGAGCCGTTCAATATGTTGCAGGCAAGTGGGTATCGCATGACTGACCGCCTGGAGCAATACATACGTTCTCTATTTGAGCATATGGGTAGCAGTCTATCGCTGGAGGCGGCGCGTCTGTTGTTTTTACATGTGGTTTGCTAGTGCGATGGGTCCGCCACGTGTGTAGCGCGGGCGCAGCATTATGTGAGCGCGCGCTTGCCGTGCGCGTTCTCATGCATGTAGCGTTGTGAGTACACTTGTGCGTTCTATGAGCTTCTGAGCCGTCACATGCCAATGTTTATTCAACACTGTAACGCTCGGTGTACGTATTGTGGCACTCGTGTCATATCGTGGCTGCCTCATGCATCTATGCGTGGCGTTGTGGGGTGCCGTAGGGGCCCGTTGCGTCGTTCCTGCAATGAGTGCGTCTGTGCGCAAGCGCACGCGCGCGCAATGCCCTCTGCGGTTTGCATGCCCGTCTCTCCCCAGTTGTATTTCAACGACGCGAGGGACATCGAGTCGCGGGCGGCTCGCCACAAGAGCCGCTGCGACGCATCTCTCATGGCTCTAGGGATCGCTACTCTGAAGCACAGGTACCCTCATTCTGCCCACATTGACCTGTCGCCCGAGGATGTCGCGTCCATGTCAGATTCGCTTACACTAGATAAGCATACGTTTGGAGGCTCCACGAATGCAACATCTTTGCTCACCTTTGACGTTGATGAGCTGGTGAACGCTCGTTCTAAATGGAGGTCAACAAGCCCTGGCAAGTTCGAATTGAACCAAGCATTTCTGTTCAAAGTGTTGTTATCCGTTGACAGTGATCATTGGGAGTTTTTGTGGTTGTCCTCGGTGTACAAGGTTCATACAATAGTGTCGGACTCCGAACTGAACTACTACTACATCCTTCAAGTGGCGCCGAAGGGCTTGTTATTGTTGGAGATGGTCGAAGAGTCCGAAGGCATACTGAGGTTTGGTTTCGGCCCTGAGCGGGTCAAGGTCACAGCTCCGCCCCGGTTGACTATTTTTCTGTTGGGACTTCGACTTGGCTTTCAAACTTAGAAGGCGAATGAATCAGGGTTCGTTTACGCGCGGGGGAGGCATTTGGTGTTCCTGTGCGCCGATACGCAATTCCCCAATTTATTTCTCGCTCTGGGCCTGCACCGCTGCCTCAAAGCATTGCAAAAACATGGCTTGAGTGTAAAGTGTGCCCATGGGGGTCCTCGCACATCGACGTGGCAAACGTCGGTTGTCCAATGCCAGTGACCGCTTAACAGAGCCAGAGAGAACAGCAGGCCATATCCGCAGTGAAAGCATTGATCGAGAAAAGGTGCCAGAGGAGAGCGGAAAAGCTCAGACAGCCAGACGATGGGGACGCACGTGATCAAGACGATGTAGACAGCGATGCCTCTGACCCTGGTTTGCACGACGGAGTTGTAACCGAACAGCTTCGAGCAGAAGCGCGCCCCGAATTGGTTGCACTGGCCAGCAAGGAGGTTGATTATCTACTCGGGGCTTGCCCCGCGGGGCAGGCGCTGGGCGAGGAAGAAGATGACCACGGTGTCGAGCAGCTGAAGCTGCGTGCCGACGCGAAGGTTGCATCTCGCCCGCCGAGGGGAGTGCGAAAGAAGAGCCCGCCCGTGAGCAGCCAAGTTAGCAAGCGCCCCCGAGCGCCCTCACCGTCTCCGCCGAGCCCCTTCCTGTCACCAGTGAAGGGCGTGTGTGGACAGTCGCCGCCTGGGGACATTTTGAGTCCCAACGGTGACCAGGGGCAGGTCCGCCACCCTACGCTCCTAACCTCTGACGAGGAAAACTCGGACGGCCCAGCGTTCATTCCTTGGGATCAATCTGCCGATTGTCTAGGGGTTGGCCCGCCTGCGTTGCCCGACCCGCCTGCTTCTCCAGAGTTGGCGATGCCAGTGGCGGGATCTGGCCCTGGCCCTGGGCCGCCAGTTTCACCAAGTGTGTCAGCCCCTCCAGGGCCAGACACCCCACCCGAGCCAGCTGCCAGCGTTGCCGTTGGCGCTCGCGCTCACGATTTCAGCCGCGTTCCGCTGACGCGTCAATTTTGTTTGGTCGAGCCGCTGATGCGCTCGCCCTACTGGGTTGCAAAGCTACCGCATGGCCTCGAATACAGGGGCAGCAAGTCGCATTCAGCGACGTTTGGCAGGTTGCGGTCGGAGGAACAAGCGAAGCTGCAAGTTTACACGTGGCTGCAGGAGGCAATAGCGCACCATGGTTTATAATATATCATGTTTCTCTTTGATGCTTGCATGCTGGCAGTCGGCATAGATGCATTGAGACTGTACTGTGTGCGGTAACTTTCCTTGCGCATGCAAAGCCGCCTTGCCGCATAGAAAATGGCCTGCGGCCCATCCCGCCACCGCGTCTGGGTTGTGGGCCAGGCGGCTGCTGAATGCTCGCTGGGGTCTCGGGGTGGACTTCTCGGGTGTCTCTTGGGAGCAGTTTTGAAGCGTCTTGGGGGCAGTGTTGGTGCCTCATGTGGCATCTTGTGGGCGTCTTGGGCTGGTGTGTCTGCCTCGCGGGGGTCTCTTAGAGCCTCTTGAGTGCCTAATGGGGGCTTCGTGGGGGGCATCTTGGGGCATCCTTGCGTTTGGGCGTCGCGGCGCTTCGCGTGCCCTCGCCAGCCCATCCAGAGAACATGCTTAGCCGAGGTGCGTTGACCATGGCCGTGCAGCATAATGCAGCGCACCATCGTGCATCGTAACAGCGATGCCGCCAAGATAGGCCCACGCGTGCCCCAATGAAGATCCCGAAACGCGCCTTAAGCGGGCACCAACAAGACCCCGATCGGGCCCCGATGCTTCCCGAAAGCGATCGCCCCCCCCCCCCCCCCCTCCCCTCGTTCCCCCATTGGCCATGGGGCCCTTGCGGTGCCTTGCTGAGCCTCTTCCAGAGGTGGTCTCTAGGCGTTCTTGGTGCCTTCGTGGGATCATATAAGGCCCTCTCGGCCCATGGGCGGGTTGCAAGAACCTGCCGCCACCCTCTTTACCCCCGTTCTTCTCACCCCTGCCGCGCCACCTCCCATCATACCTCGTCGCCTTGCTTCCCGCCGACCCTCATATCGCTACGTGCGCACCCCTTCTGCCCCATCGCCCCCCTTTGCTCTCTCGCCGTCCCCGCGCCCTCTACCCGCCACCTCCTTCCGCAGCCCGCCGTCCCCGCATTCCGCATCCCCGCGCACTTCCGCGCCCGCAAACCCCGTCCCGTCCCGCCCGCGTCCCACCATCGCCCGCTCCTGTTTCCCGCACCCGCCCCCATCCCCCCCCCCCCCCCCTCTCTCTACCCCCTCCACACCCGCCGCCCCCGCCGCCCGAAGATGGCGCTCGCAGCCCCAAGCGGCCCTGATCAAATTTCAAGAGGGCCCAGAATGGGCACCGAGAGGGGCGCAAGCGGGCCCCAAGCGGGCACGCATAGACCCCGATTGCAATGTGCAAGTTGCCGCTCCTCCCCATGATACTGTGCGCCGTCTTTGGTGCGGTTTGTCTCGGGCCCGCCATTCACCGTGGGTGGCCCCCCTCCTTGCGGCCTCGTTTTGGTGTGTTCTTTTAGTGTTTCCGCGCAGCGTTCCGCAATGCACCTCGGAATTTTCGAGGGGCCCTTCCCAGCGCCTCGAATGTCACCGAACGCACGGCCCTACACAGCCCGCCCTCCGCCGCCCCTTCCCCCCCCCTCGCGGCCCCCGCCCCCCCCCCCCCCCCCGCGCCCTCTCCCCCCACCCCCTGCCCCCCCCCCCCCCTCCATATTGTAAGATAGGGGAGAACCACACTATTGATGTATACGCGGGAGGCAGTTGGGGTTGCAAGGTCGTTGCAGGGCATTGCAAGGCCCTGCGCAGCCGCGCGCGCAGCATTGCATGGCTTCGCATGGCGGCGCGCCGCTGTTTTGCATTGAGTTGCAGGGTACCGCGGGTGTCTGCATTGTTGGGTGTTGAAGAGCATTGCGGGGTCGCGTTGCAACGCGTCGCAACGTAGCGTGGCGTGCGCGAGGAGGCGTCGCACCCTATGTCACAAGGTCGTGCGGGTGTTTTTGGCGAAACGCTGTGGATATAGTAGCGACTATGGTTGTTAATGGAAGTTGTAAGGGCTCCCTTTCTAAATCGCAAACGACACGGGGGGGGGGCGGCGCCGCCGCCGATCCCCGCCCACACCCCAGGGAGCAAGGCCGCCCCGCGAGGGCGGGGAGGGCCGCACCCTAAACATTTTATGTTTCACCGCGCTTCACCATGGCAACATCTGGGTTGCTGTGTTCCCGCCTCTTAAGGGGCCTTCGTTCTCGAGGTCGACGACATGGTGCGAGAGTGCGGCCGCTGCGTGCGCCCGATACGTTTCATTATATGCGCTTCAAAAAAAAACGAAAAGGCGAGAAGGCCATCGGAAAGCGAAACGGCGAGAAGCCAACAATCATCAGTTTCCTTTCTAGGTTTTGGAATGATTTTGGCATCTTGGGGGCCTCCTTGGGGGGCTATCTGGCATCATGGAGCCGTCTTGGGGCGGTCTTGGGGCCTCTTGGAGCATCTTCGGGGCCATCTTGAGGCATCTTAAGCTATCTTGAGCCATCTTGGAGCTCGTCTCGGGCTCTTCCGAGGCGCTCTTGGAGCCGTCTTGGGCCACGTTGAGCGCCCCAGCCGTCGCCCCCCTCCCCCCCTTCCCCACCCCCCCCCCCCCCCCTTTCCCCCTTCCCCCCCCCCCCCCCCCCCCCCCCCCCCCCCTCCACGCACACACACAACGCACGCACACACGCAACACACACACACAACCACACACACACACACAACTAGACGCACCACCACACACACACACACACACACACACACACACACACACACACACACACACACGCACACACGCACACGCGCACTTCCCAGTGGGAACCCTTGTCTTCTTTTGATGTGCACCTATCTTGCGGCATTTGCAGTTGCGCATGGTTGTCGCATTCGACAGGGTTGCTCATTCTTACTTCAATAGTGTCGCATTGGGCGCACCTTGTGCGCGGCTTCCGTCAAACGCATTCGCATATGCACTCTATGCGACGCATGCGCTGAACTTCGGTGAACATCGGCGTTGTTCGTGTTCTTGCGTCGCGGCCTCCGACAGCCAAACTCGGAATCGCGAAATCATTTCGTTTGGGCGTGCAATTCGCGCACGCGCCCCCATCCCCCAAAACCAAAAAAATCTAAGCAAAATGAGCTTTCCCGTTCAATTATGAGCATTTTCAATCATGTAGTAGACCCTCTACTCGAACTCTGCCACTGCGTCCATAAAAGACGAAGATCCTAGCAAACAGCCGTAGGGAGGGGAGAACAATCACCCATGTCGACAGCAACGGCGGCAACGTCCGCATTTTACATTCCGGCCACGGAACAACGCATTTGGACAGAACATTGATTTTCCACGATTTTCACGACAAAGGGTTGCACAACAGGATTGCACCAGGGTGGGCATGTTTTCGTTAGCTTCGCTACGAATTGACCAAGAAACGCTCCCCGCTTTATAGTTGACCGAGGTTTCTCAACGGCACAGTCACGCCGTTTGTGCTGTACGGCGGCTGCTCATCCGGGACTCTGTCAATGGAGATGCTTCTTGTTCTCAATTGCGTCCAACAGAAAATGCTCAGGCTTGTCAGGGGAGTGCCGCGGAAACGCAGCGCGCAGTCCCAGTGCGCGCCCGACACCTCCGACCACGACCACCGTCACAACATGACCGACGCCAACACAGCAAACGACGCGGAGTACCAGCCAGCAGCAGCAACGAGAGGTTTGAGAACGGAAAAGAAGCACGGACCGCTTACATTCGCCGAGCCGCGCACGAAACCACGGATCATGCTCCTCGTGCCCGAGTGGAAGAATGGATTGTTTTATTTTTCAGGCGAAAATGGAAACGGGCATCCCGCGTGGCGACACATGATTCCGACAGGTGGAAGTTCTTAGTTGCCTCATGGGAGCCATCCGCACACGCACGACCCACGCCCAGCACAACGGCGGCATGGAGGTCAACGAAAGCAGTGGGCAAACGACATCATGCACTTCTTACGTTGAAGGGAATGACAGAAGACCACGACGACAAGGAACATAGTAACTGTGGGTATCCGTTGCAGCAGATCAACAGTTGTTGGAGGGATTTACCAGCTTGTTTTATACATTGCGCCGACGCAGATTATCACCTGCATGATATGGAATACTTCCACCGACTCCAGCTTTACGAGTCCCTCCTAGATTGTTTCTCCGACTCCTGTTCCCAAATCGCCGAGTCCATCTCCCATCTCCCCGACTCCGGCTTCCATCATCCCCACTCCGGCTCGCATATCTCCGACTCCGGTCGTCTTTCCGATTACATGTTCTTTTTCCGCTTCCGACTCCCATCTTTCCGACTCCGGTTTCTTTTAATGTAATTCGGGCTCCCATATTCCGGCTACGGTTTCCGCCGATTCGGGCTCCGTTTCCAGCTGCCCCCCCCACGTTGCCACCATAGGGCCAGTCCCGTTGGACCGACATCGCGCGCTCGACTCGCCTTCTGCTTTCTCCTTGCCCACTTCATCTCCTCTCCCTCATCCTCCCACTTCTCCTCCTCCCCACTCCCTCCTTCTCCCCCTCCTCTCTCCGAACTCCCCATGAGACTCTCGGTGCCTTGCAAAAGTTCCAGGAGGGTTCCACGACGGTCCCAGGATGTTTCCAGGTCGCCCCAGGAAGTTTGCAGCGGCACAATGCGGCCCCAAGAGGCCGCGCAGAGTGTCCACTCAGCTTCGAATATGGCCAAGCCAGTCGAAACCAAACATGAATCCCAACTTGTTTCCTTTCCTTCCTGGATTCCGCATGTCCTGCGAAAATGTGGATCCAAGATGGCCTCGGGGGCTCAAATGTCCCCGAAGAGAATTGCACCATTGCTCAAGGATGGTCCAGGGCTGCCGCGCACACCAAGCTTCAATGCGACTTGCATCAACGCGTGGGCTTCCAAGCTAAAGGCCCGATCGTCCGAACACAACCCATGTGAGGCGTTTTACGCTTGGCGTCATGGTTCGTGGAAATTGAGCGTTGGCGAAGCGCGCGATGTTTCTATTGTGTGAATATTGTGGTGAAGACATCCGTATACACATGTGTACACAAAGACAGAGGACAAACTGGTTTACGTACGGTTGACGTTCCGGCGCACATACGCATCATCATGTGCTAGATTGGTATACGTATGTGTATACACCACAATATCTAGATTGTTGCCCCCGTGCGTGTCCACTCCGTGAGTTGAATTCTACGTCCACCGCAGATCAAACATGATGCGTGCTCCCACGTGTGTGTTCAAATTTCCCCCAATCATCCTGTCACCCAAATGGCGTTGAATGGGGCAGTTTCTCCACCTCTCCATGGGAGGAGGAAGAGGAGGAGGAGGAGGAGGAGGAGGAGGAGGAGGGAGGAGGAGGATGGAGGAGGAGTGAGGAGGAAGGAGGGAAGGAGGAAGAGGAGGAGGAGGAGGAGGAGGAGGAGGAGGAGGAGGAGGAGGAATCGACGGGGCCGGCCCCTCCGTGGGATGGCGGGCCCCGTGGGTGCGTGCGCTGTGCATCCCGTGGGACCTCCTGCTCGGGGCGGCCCCCTGTGGGAGAGGCGGGCTGGGGCGGCGGGTCTGCGGCCGGCGGGCCCCATGGGGAGAGGGCGGCGATGAGGCAGAATCCTCCTCCTCCTTCTCCTCCTCCTCCTCCTCCTCCTCCTCCCTCCTCCTCCTCCTCCTCCTCCTCCTCCCTCCTCCTCCTCCTCCTCCTCCTCCTCCTCCCCTCCCCCTAGACGCCCAGGCCCAGTTTTTTTTTTGTTTTTTTTTTTTTTTTATTCGAAGGGTTCAATAGATGACGGGGCGCTGTTTTGGCGTTCGCGGTTTGGTGTTTTTTCTCCCAGGAGTGGGTGCGAAGCATGGTCATGCCTGCGCTTTCTGACGCGTTGCAACTGTGCTCTACGGTCGTGTACATCGGGCTGACAGAGACTGTCGATTTTTCCCCATTACACTAGATGGCGCGGTTGCATCTAATGATGACCCAGACGAGGTGCAATTACTCCTTGTAACGCATGTCAGGCAGGCACTTGTGCACTTCAGGCAGCTGGTTGGGTATTCTCTCACTCCTTCAACATTCCCATGGGCGTGGGCGGGTGCTCTGGCAGATTCCGACGAAACGCGGCAGAGGACGATCGACCATGCGCAACAGGTGTGGGATCTCGTGCTTTTCCTAAAGCGTTCGCAAAGCCCTGTGCACGCGGAACTCGCCAAAACGTTGTTTATCAGAGAAGCAGTTGTTTTTCGAGAGCCGTTCAATATTTTGCAGGCAAGTGGGTATCGCATGACTGACCGCTTGGGGCAATACATACGTTCTCTATTTGAGCATATGGGTAGCAGTCTATACCTGGAGGCGGCGCGTCTCCTGTTGTTTTTTTTACCTTTGGCTTGCTATTGCGATGGGTCCTCCACGTGTGTAGCGCGGGCGCAGCATTATGTGAGCGCACGCTTGCCGTGCGCGATCTCATGCATGTAGCGTTGTGAGTACACTTGTGCGTTCTATGAGCTTCTGAGCCGTCACATCCCAATGTTTACTCAACACTGTAACTCTCGGTGTACGGATTGTGGCACTCGTGTCATATCGTGGTTGCCTCATGCATCTATGCGTGGCGTTGTGGGGTGCCGTAGGGGCCCGTTGCGTCGTTCTTGTAATGAGTGCGTCTGCGCGCAAGCGCACGCGCGCGCAATGCCCTCTGCGGTTTGCATGCCAATCTCTCCCCAGTTGTATTTCAACGACGCGAGGGGCAACGAGTCGCGGGCGGCTCGCCGCAAGAGCCGCTGCGACGCATCTCTCATGGCTCTAGGGATCGCTACTCTGAAGTACAGGTACCCTCATTCTGCCCACATTGACCTGTCGCCCGAGGATGTCGCGTCCATGTCAGATTCGCTTACACTAGATAAGCATACTTTTGGAGGCTCCACGAATGCAACATCTTTGCTCACCTTTGACGTCGATGAGCTGGTGAACGCTCGTTCTCAATGGAGGTCAACAATCCCTGGCAAGTTCGAATTGAACCACGCATTTCTGTTCAAAGTGCGTTTTCCTTTGACAGCGATCATTGGGAGTTTTTGTGGTTGTCCTCGTTGTGCAAGGTTCATGCAATAGTGTCGGACTCCGAACTGAACTACTACTACATCCTTCAAGTGGCGCCGAAGGGCTTGTTATTGTTGGAGATGGCCGAAGAGTCCGAAGGCATACTGAGGTTTGGTTTCGGCCCTGAGCGGGTCAAGGTAACAGCTCCGCCACCGGTTGACTATTTCTTCTGTTGGGACGTCGAACTTGGCTTTCACGTAGAAGGCGATGAATCCAGGGTTCGTTTCCGCGTGGGGGAGGCATTTGGTGTGCTCCGATACGCAATTCGCAATTATTTCTCGCCCTGGCCTGCACCGCTGCTCAAAAGCATTGCAAAACACTTGCTAGATATAAAGGTGCCCAGTGGGGCGTCGCACATCGACGTGGCAACGTCGGTTGTCAATGCCAGTGACGCTACAGAGCCAGAGAGACAGGCAGCCATATCAGCAGTGAAAGCATTGATCGAGAAAAGGTGCCAGAGGAGAGCGGAAAAGCTCAGACAGTCAGACGATGGGGACGCACGTGATCAAGACGATGTAGACAGCGATGCCTCTGACCCTGGTTTGCACGACGGAGTTGTAACCGAACAGCTTCGAGCAGAAGCGCGCCCCGAATTGGTTGCACTGGCCAGCAAGGAGGTTGATTATCTACTCGGGGCTTGCCCCGCGGGGCAGGCGCTGGGCGAGGAAGAAGATGACCGCGGTGTCGAGCAGCTGAAGCTGCATGCCGACGCGAAGGTTGCATCTCGCCCGCCGAGGAGAGTGCGAAAGAAGAGCCCGCCCGTGAGCAGCCAAGTTAGCAAGCGCCCCCGAGCGCCCTCGCCGTCTCCGCCGAGCCCCTTCCTGTCACCAGTGAAGGGCGTGTGTGTGGACAGTCGCCGCCTGGGGACATTTTTAGCCCCAACGGTGACCAGGGGCAGGTCCGCCACCCTACGCTCCTAACCTCTGACGAGGAAAACTCGGACGGCCCAGCGTTCATTCCTTGGGATCAATCTGCCGATTGTCTAGGGGTTGGCCCGCCTGCGTTGCCCGGCCCGCCTGCTTCTCCAGAGTTGGCGATGCCAGCGGCGGGATCTGGCCCTGGCCCTGGGCCGCCAGTTTCACCAAGTGTGTCAGCCCCTCCAGGGCCAGACACCCCACCCGAGCCAGCTGCCAGCGTTGCCGTTGGCGCTCGCGCTCACGATTCCAGCCGCGTTCCGCTGACGTGTCAATTTTGTTTGGTCGAGCCGCTGATGCGCTCGCCCTACTGGGTTGCAAAGCTACCGCACGGCCTCGAATAGAGGGGCAGCAAGTCGCATTCAGCGACGTTTGGCAGGATGCGGTCGGAGGAACAAGCGAAGCTGCAAGTTTACACGTGGCTGCAGGAGGCAATAGCGCACCATGGTTTATAACATATCATGTTTCTCTTTGATGCTTGCATGCTGGCAGTCGGCATCGATGCATTGAGACTGTACTGTGTGCGGTAACTTTCCTTGCGCATGCAAAGCCGCCTTGCCGTATAGAAAATGGCATGCGGCCCATCCCGCCACCGCGTCTGGGTTGTGGGCCAGGCGGCTGCTGAATGCTCGTTGGGGTCTCGGGGTGGACTTCTCGGGTGTCTCTTGGGAGCAGTTTTGAAGCGTCTTGGGGGCAGTGTTGGTGCCTCATGTGGCATCTTGTGGGCGTCTTGGGTTGGTGTGTCTGCCTCGCGGGGGTCTCTTAGAGCCTCTTGAGTGCCTCATGGGGGCTTCGTGGGGGGCATCTTGGGGCATCCTTGCGTTTGGGCGTCGCGGCGCTTCGCGTGCCCTCGCCAGCCCATCCAGACAACATGCTTAGCCGAGGTGCGTTGATCATGGCCGTGCAGCATAATGCAGCGCACCATCGTGCATCGTAACAGCGATGCCGCCAAGATAGGCCCACGCGTGCCCCAATGAAGATCCCGAAACGCGCCTTAAACGGGCACCAAAAAGGCCCCAATCGGCCCCCGATGCTTCCCGACAGCGATCGCCCCCCCCCCCCCCCCTCGTTCGCCCATTGGCCATGGGGCCCTTGCGGTGCCTTGCTGAGCCCCTTCCAGAGGTGGTCTCTAGGCGTTCTTGGGGCCTTCGTGGGATCGTCTAAGGCCCTCTCGGGCCTTGGGCGGGTTGCAAGAACCTGCCGCCACCCCCTTTACCCCCATTTCTTCCAACCCCTGCCGCGCCACCTCCCATCATACCTCGTCGCCTCGCTTCCCGCCGACCCTCATATCGCTACGTGCGCATCCCTTCTGCTCCATCGACCTCCCTTGCTCTCTCGCCGTCCCCGCGCCCTTCTACCCGTCACCTCCTCCCGCAGCCCTCCTTCCCCTCACCCCTCATCCCCGCGCTCTTCCCGCGCCCGAACCCCGTCCCGCCCACGTCCACCAATCGCCCGCTCCTGTCTCCCGCACCCACTCAAACCCCCCCCCCTCTACCCCCCTCCACCCCCGCCACCCCCGCCGCCCGAAGATGGCGCTCGCAGCCCCAAGGGGCACTAATCAAATTTCAAGAGGGCCCAGAATGGGCACCGAGAGGGGCGCAAGCGGGCCCCAAGCGGGCTCGCATATACCCCGATTGCAATGTGCAAGTTGCCGCTCCTCCCCATGATACTGTGGGCCGTCTTTGGTGCGGTTTGTCTCGGGCCCGCCATTCACCGTCGGGTGGCCCCCCTCCTTGCGGCCTCGTTTTTTGGTGTGCTGTTTTAGTGTATCCGTGCAGCTTTCCGCAATGCACCTCGGAGTTTTCGATGGGTCCTTCCCAGCGCCTCGAATGTCACCGAACGCACGGCCCTACACAGCCCGCCCTCCCCCGCCCCGGTCCCCCCTCGCGCCCACCCCCCCCCCCCCTCCGCGCCCCGCCCCCCCCCCCCTGCCCCCCCCCCCCCCCTGCCTGGCCCCCCCCCCCCCCCCCCCCCCGCCCCCCCCCCACCCCCCCCCGCCCCAACCCCACCCCCTCCATATTGTAAGATAGGGGAGAACCACACTATTGATGTATACGCGGGAGGCAGTTGGGGTTGCAAGGTCGTTGCAGGGCATTGCAAGGCCCTGCGCAGCCGCGCGCGCAGCATTGCATGGCTTCGCATGGCGGCGCGCCGCTGTTTTGCATTGAGTTGCAGGGTACCGCGGGTGTCTGCATTGTTGGGTGTTGAAGAGCATTGCGGGGTCGCGTTGCAACGCGTCGCAACGTAGCGTGGCGTGCGCGAGGAGGTGTCGCACCCTATGTCACAAGGTCGTGCGGGTGTTTTTGGCGAAACGCAGTGGATATAGTAGCGACTATGGTTGTTAATGGAAATTGTAAGAGCTCCCTTTCTAAATCGCAAACGACACGGGGGGGGGCGGCACCGCCGCCGATCCCCGCCCACGCCCCAGGGAGCAAGGCCGCCCCGCGAGGGCGGGGAGGGCCGCACCCTAAACATTTTACGTTTCACCGCGCTTCACCATGGCAACATCTGGGTTGCTGTGTTCCCGCCTCTTAAGGGGCCTTCGTTCTCGAGGTCGACGACATGGTGCGAGAGTGCGGCCGTTAAACAAAAAAAACGAAAAGGCGAGAAGGCCACCGGAAAGCGAAAAGGCGAGAAGCCAACAATCATCAGTTTCCTTTCTAGGTTTTGGAATGATTTTGGCATCTTGGGGGCCTCCTTGGGGGGCTATCTGGCATCGTGGAGCCGTCTTGGGGCGGTCTTGGGGCCTCTTGGAGCATCTTCGGGGCCATCTTGAGGCATCTTAAGCTATCTTGAGCCATCTTGGAGCTCGTCTTGGGCTCTTCCGAGGCGCTCTTGGAGCCGTCTTGGGCCACGTTGAGCGCCCCAGCGCGTCGCCCCCTCCCCCCCCACCCCCCGCCCCCCCCCCCCCCCTTTCCCCCCCCCCCACCCCCCCCCCCCCCTCCACGCACACACACACACACACACACACACACACACACACACACACACACACACACACACGCGCACTTCCCAGTGGGAACCCTTGTCTTCTTTTGATGTGCACCTATCTTGCGGCATTTGCAGTTGCGCATGGTTGTCGCATTCGACAGGGTTGCTCATTCTTATTTCAATCGTGTCGCATTGGGCGCACCTTGTGCGCGGTTTCCCTCAAACGCATTCGCATATGCATTCTATGCGACGCATGCGCTGAACTTCGGTGAACATCGGCGTTGTTCGTGTTCTTGCGTCGCGGCCTCCGACAGCCAAACTCGGAATCGTGAAATCATTTCGTTTGGGCGTGCAATTCGCGCACGCGCCCCCATCCCCCAAAACCGAAAAAATCTAAGCAAAATGAGCTTTCCCGTTCAATTATGAGCATTTTCAATCATGTAGTAGACCCTCTACTCGAACTCTGCTACTGCGTCCATAAAAGACGAAGATCCTAGCAAACAGCCGCAGGGAGGGGAGAACAATCACCCATGTCGACAGCAACGGCGGCAACGTCCGCATTTTACATTCCGGCCACGGAACAACGTATTTGGACAGAACATTGATTTTCCACGATTTTCACGACAAAGGGTTGCACAACAGGATTGCACCAGGGTGGGCATGTTTTCGTTAGCTTCGCTACGAATTGACCAAGAAACGCTCCCCGCTTTATAGTTGACCGAGGTTTCTCAACGGCGCAGTCACGCCGTTTGCGCTGTACGGCGGCTGCTCATCCGGGACTCTGTCAATGGAGATGCTTCTTGTTCTCAATTGCGTCCAACAGAAAATGCTCAGGCTTGTCAGGGGGGTACCGCGGAAACGCAGCGCACAGTCCCAGTACGCGCCCGACACCTCCGACCACGACCACCATCACAACATGACCGACGCCAACACAGCAAACGACGCGGAGTACCAGCCAGCAGCAGCAACGAGAGGTTTGAGAACGGACAAGAAGCACGGACCGCTTACATTCGCCGAGCCGCGCACGAAACCACGGATCATGCTCCTCGTGCCCGAGTGGAAGAATGGATTGTTTTATTTTTCAGGCGAAAATGGAAACGGGCATCCCGCGTGGCGACACATGATTCCGACAGGTGGAAGTTCTCAGCTGCCTCATGGGAGCCACCCGCACACACACGACCCACGCCCAGCACAACGGCGGCATGGAGGTCAACGAAAGCAGTGGGCAAACGACATCATGCACTTCTTACGTTGAAGGGAATGACAGAAGACCACGACGACAAGGAACATAGTAACTGTGGGTATCCGTTGCAGCAGATCAACAGTTTTTGGAGGGATTTACCAGCTTGTTTTATACATTGCGCCGACGCAGATTATCACCTGCATGATATGGAATACTTCCACCGACTCCAGTTTTACGAGTCCCTCCTAGATTGTTTCTCCGACTCCTGTTCCCAAATCGCCGAGTCCATCTCCCATCTCCCCGACTCCGGCTTCCATCATCCCCACTCCGGCTCGCATATCTCCGACTCCGGTCGCCTTTCCGATTACATGTTCTTTTTCCGCTTCCGACTCCCATCTTTCCGACTCCGGCTTCTTTTAATGTAATTCGGGCTCCCATATTCCGGCTACGGTTTCCGCCGATTCGGGCTCCGTTTCCAGCTGCCCCCCCCACGTTGCCACCATCGGGCCAGTCCCGTTGGACCGACATCGCGCGCTCGACTCGCCTTCTGCTTTCTCCTTGCCCACTTCATCTCCTCTCCCTCATCCTCCCACTTCTCCTCCTCCCCACTCCCTCCTTCTCCCCCTCCTCTCTCCGAGCTCCCCATGAGACTCTCGGTGCCTTGCAAAAGTTCCAGGAGGGTTCCACG